TTTGAGCATTTTCAAGCCTATTTAATTCAATATTCACTTTTGCTTTCAAGAACACTTATTGTGCTCAATTGTATTATTCTTGAGTGTTCTTTCTTTGTTCTAGAATTGTGTAAACATCTTACCTTGTGAGGATTTTCTTGTAAGTTTGCAAAAATTATATTATTCTCTTTGGGAGATAGTGTTCTCAAGAATTTGGGGTATAATTCGTGAGGGATTTTTAAGGTTACTATTTGTCCTCAAAAGAAAGACAAATTAGTGAATTTGTGTAAAATCCTTAGTGTGGATAGCTAAGGTAGTGGACGTAGACTTTGGTTGAGAAAGTCAAACCACTCTAAATCGCTATGCAAATCTTTTCAATTTTCTGCAAAGCTTCCACTGAAATTTTTATTTGCCAATTCATCCCCTCTTGGCCAACTCCATTGATCGATTAACTCAACACATACTTGTAACATAGATCATCTCTTTTTCTTATACCTCAATATTCTTTTCATATCAATAGGAGAAACGACATCTTACTACTTATACTCATTATTGATTGCCTAATTTATTGCACCTACTTAACTTTGATAGTTTACCCTAATTGTACAAAACACTATTCTTTATTAATCCTTACTTACATTTCTCCACTTGAATCTTCAAGAACTAGATTCAAATATGCACCTAATCATTTAAGATACTCTTTCTACTTCAATTTGTACAATTTCTAACGACTCTTCTAATCCAGTTTATAGAATTTACATTTAAACATGACTTCTTATCGATTAACAATTTCTAACTCCTTATTCCTTTAAAATCATTTTCAATTGTCTTCTATAACACTGTAATTACTTTTCCCACAGATCTTATTATTACTTATCTTATATTTCCTTGTTTCTTGCAATCCAAATAACTATTGCCTTCCCTACTAATAACTTGCTTAGTGGGGAGGAATCTTAGAGAATTTCTCCATGAATCTTTTGAATAATCAAAGAACTCCAACAAATTTCGAATTCAAAATAACTTTTTTACTTCCAGCCAATCATAACTCGTACTTATTTTATACTTTCTACCTTTTCAACATTAACTTCTTTATGAAGTTTAAATCATTAATCAAGATTCTACTTCACGTCTTTATTTTATCTCACCAATCTATTTGGCTTAACAACCAAATATATCTAATCTTCCACCAGGATTATTCTAAATCCCCAGAAGAGGATACTTGTTCTTCTTTGCTACTTTACTTTATGGATAATAATCCATCCATAATTTCATAGCTTATCTTTCTTGCTACATCTCAACATAGAGATAATTCATATAACCCTTATAGATACACAATTAGATACTCACTAACAGTGAAAATATCTCTTAACTTAACTATGAAAGTTTGAGTATCCTCTTTAAATACTTAACAATCCTATAATCATATCTTCATAATAATTACTTCTAAAAATTCTCGTAGGGAGCCTTTTTACTCCTTTTATCACATATAATATATCATATACATGCTTGACCACTTAGCAGTAAGACCACTCCATCCAACTTATTCATTAAAGAACAATGAAGACTATTCAACTAAATTTTCTCGTCATTAACCAAAGTTCTGCAAAAACAGAACCTTCTTCAACTTCTTCATTAAACTCAGATACTCTTAAACTTTTAACTCTTTAACAACATCTATTATAATAACTTGAAGAACTAAACGATTGAAATTGCTTCAAAATCACGTTCATCATTCGGGAAGTACTCCCTGAGGCGTCTATTATTCACTTTACCATATTATTACTTCTCTTATTAACTCTAATTCTCGCTTCACTTCGAAAGACCTCTTAATCTTACATCTCTTAATATCTAATCACTTAACTATACTAGCAAGGACATCATACTTATTACACTATCAGATCATAGATACTTAATATTTTGTTGGCATGTACAAACCAAACATTTTTTTAACAGTCGACCGACCAGTCTATTTCGAAAACTTGATTCAACCTAGGATATGATACCATTAAATGTAACACCCCAACCCGTATCCGACCCATATACGAATCTGAGGTGCCACATTGACTTTTCAAACTCTTTGTCTCTTTTAAAATATGATTAAAAAATGAAAAAGAAAACAAAACTTAATAAATCATAGTTAAAATACATATCAGAGCATCTATTTTACATTTATAGTACATACCAACAACATTTTTGTGATACTATCACATACTATTCATATTTTTCTAATCTGAAAATTTGCAAAGATATGTTGTCCTGCCTGCGCTTACTCTGCTTATTCCTCACATACCCTTCAACCTACTTGTGAAAACACTCACACGCTAAGTCATTGACTTAGTGAGGCATTATGAGTAATATTAAACAATAAAACATTTATATAAATTTTCAAAAGAAATGTTTAATTTTAAAAAACATCACAAGTCTTATAACGTATAACATCTCTAATTAAACATTAATAAATGTATACTCATTTTATTCTTGATTATACATTTCATATCATTAACAATATATACTTTTAGACAATGTACACTTTCATAATCATTTTTAATTTTATATAATCAACATATAATTTATACACTTTTCATTTAATATACATTTGTTTAATTGGTCCAACATATATCACTGAGAACTCAAGGTGTGTGAGTACATTGCGGTTGTGCACTAATGCTGTCACCACAACTCACATAATTTACACCAAAGTGACACGTAGAGTTACAGCAAAGTGCCACATAGTTTTTTCCCGAAGGACCACGTAGAATTTGTCCCGAAGGACCACATAGAAATGTCTAGAAGGACCACATAGAAATGTCCCGAAGGATTGCGTAGAACCCTCGACTCTTGGCATGCCAACTATACCTCTAATTCGCATACATATACCTTGGGCTTTAACTTATAATTATTTTTTTATTTTCACTATTTAAAGTGTGTCTTATTCTTATAGTGTTCGTTCACAAAGGGTATCTTCACGTAGAACTGTTTCACTTATCACATTCACGTAGAACCTTTTCACTTAGCACATTATCATATATATATATATATATATATATATATATATATATATATATATATAACATTTGCATATAGAACACTTTTCACGTAGAACAATTTTATGAAACATTATCCAAGTCTATCATTTATTTACATAGAACTTGTTCTCATAACATTTAATTTCACATAGCATTTATTCAATATTTATCATATACTCATGGTTCGTACTTATTTCATATTACATATCATATTCCACTTATCAATTTAATCATATAAAGCATATTCACATATAACATAATAACATATACTCATAACATTTTACTTTGGTCAAGAACATTTGAGATTGGCTCATCACAAGCCATTCTCCAATCATAAATAGAATAAGTAAATAGAACTCACCTTTGCCTCACGTAAGTTATAAACGAAATCATTTTATTTAAATCTCGTACTATGTCGATTCCTTCTGTACCATTGCGATCTAAATCTACACATAGACATTTCCTATATCAATACCAATCTCTACTAACATTTAACTGATTAACACTACATAAATGGAACAAAAGACTTTAGAATTTAAAGTTTTAGACTTAATAGTATCGGTACCCCTTCTATAGTACAAATACTTCTCTTTTATGGTATTGATACCCTCCTTTAGCACCGATACCATTTTCGCATTCTAGAATTTTGATTTCAAATATTGCATCGATACCTTCGTCTTGGTATCGATATCACCACCTCAATATTGATACTGTTCATCCGGTTCATACTATTTCTTGCAATTTACTTTATAGTATCGGTACTATTCTTCCAGTACCGATACCCTTACCCAGAAATAACTTATTTTACTTCGAAAATTACCCAACATTCACTTAAATCTCTTACCCTTAACTCTATTTATAACTTCAAACTCATTTACACTTATTCCGACTAACTTATCTCCATTAAAACCCCTTTAACATAAAAAATCTACCATATAACTATAGAAACTAAAAATCATATCAAATTTTCAAACATGTTTTTAATCATTCATAACACTTATAATCCCTTAATTAAACCATTGACAAGTCAAATATATCTTTAAAAATATGACAATCACTTCCAATTAATTATCTTAAAAACACATTTTACTAAATAATCATTAACTCCTTATTCCTTTATATTCTAATTATCTTTAAGCTTCCTTAAGTTTCTATACCACTCAAGTATTAAAATCCAACTCAAAAATGAAAGAAAAACCAACTTGAAAGGCAACTTACCTTAGTATGGAGTTTCACGGGAATGATGGGAATAAGAGAAGAGAAAGCTTCCAGACTTTTCCTTTATTTCTTTCTTTCTTTTAATCCCATTTATAAAGTATTAGTAAAAAATATTTTAAGCTCCTATATGCTAAAAGACCATTATGGTCATATATTTTTCCTTCTTTGAAAATAAATCCTACACAGAAATTCCCAAATCAGTCGTTGAACTTTTTAATTTATCAAAATTAAACAACTAAATTTTCAATCTTTACACTTTAGTCACTGACCCGAAGTTTGGGATGTTACATAAATGCTTGTTGAAAATGGAACGTTGACACAATAACTGGTGGAACAATGGATGACAAACTTGAGTGAGGCATCAAAGCACGATATGTAGCATCCGATTGAGTCAAGTGCCACTATATTAGATGAATAATGGGGCATCCTTATTAAGAAGAGATCATTTCATCCATCATGGAGCTTTATTTCATTTGTAGCATCTTGTTTGAACTTGTTTTTTTTTTTGTTCTTGCTCAACTTTTTTGTAAGGATATTTTAAATGAAATTGTGTTACTTTATATATGGTGAGCATTTAATAAAATTTCCATTCTTGATGTTCTTTGAATACCAATTGAATTAAAAATTCTTTAAATGATTAGAATTATAAATCTTTGACTAAGTGACAAGATTGAAAACTTATAAAACAAGGACCCTGGACCTTACCCCAGAAAATACACTCGAAAACCATACCCTTCTCTTGCAGGGACCAATATAGCATTTTCCTCTCATAAAGAAATGAACAAGAGGCTTGGTATTAAGGTATGCATAAGAGCGAACAACATGGGGCATCTCTTGTGTATGACATTGCAAAACTAACTAGATTACAATTCTGTTGAGGACATTCAATGATGATCTGAATCTTCACAAATAGAATGGTGGAGTGGATGAATTTAGTGTAGGTCAGTTGTTTGGGAACTGAAATCTAAATATTAGATTATCTAACCATTAAAGACACATAGACTATAAAAGGTTCTTCTTGATGAGCTTAAGAAATTCTAATCTGAATACTCAAAAGGTTAATAGATTTATTATTATTATTATAGATTATGCAATAAAGTTGAGCTATTCCACTAAAATAATTGGTTATAGAGGAAACTCAAAAGCCCCATCTTTATGAATAAATTGCATTCAAACCATGACATTGCTAGGGTACTCGGCAATTCAGTGTTTACTCCACTGCAATTGTCAATTCGAAGACTTTGTGATGAGACAAACCCTTCATCTAGCTCGATAAAGGCAATTACAATAAAGTTGAATTCAGCTAGCCAAACAATGGCAAATTAAATCAAATTTATCTAATAATAAGTTTTAGTAAAATGGACTAAGGAAGTTGAGAAACACCTTTTATAGTCAACCTCATACAAATACTCAAGAATTTTATATTTAGCCTGATGTCTCTACACTACCTCTGCTAAGGAAGTCTATGAAGCTTAAACAAATTGAAGATTTCAGAGAACTGAAATAGAAGTGTTCTAGAAAGTCTAGTAATTGATTATGCTAGTTGAGCCATTTTGTCTACAATACCAACCCATCAATTTTGACATTTGTCAAAGAGTTATAATTTTGAAAATATTAAAAGAGTTGTTGATTCTTTTAATATTCTGTGAACTCATGTATGTGATTTGCTTCAATTGCAAGATTGAATTAAGGAATAATACTTAACAAAAATTCTTTATTCTTTGATTTCTAAATAAAAAAGGAGAAAAACATTTTCAAACAGGACAGTCTCAAATGCAAAAGGTCCTTGAAGCAGGTGAGGCCCATTCTGCCTCTATTGAAGAAAAGAGACTAAATAATGCTAGAATAATGAAACATTCACAATCTTGAACGCAAGTAGTCTGAGAGATTAGAAGGGATGGAGGATAAAACTTGTAACACATCCTTGTGACATTGTCGGTAACCCGTCGAGAAGCATATGTTTGCCCTAATTGAAAGGGGCACATATCCCAGCTCATAGAAAAAATACAAGATATTTCTGATTACTAGAATATCTAAGTGCCCATGGCGTCATAACATTGTTGTTCAGTAATGCAAGAGTAATACCAGTCAAGGATGAAATTTTGGCACACAAATAGGGATGAGTAATGAAAGTATCTATATTGGGGCATGACCAAAAGTCTAGATCATGTTAGGATAACAAGGTTCAGACCAAAAAGACATTAGGAATGAGCCTCATAACTTGGAGTGTCAGGGATAGACCATGAATTTTGGAAGAGCATACCTTGCAGAGCAAATCAGTCGAGCATCAATTAACTGTAGGGTTCTGGAAAAACAACTCTGATAGCGCAATTGAGTCAGGGATAGAAAGGGGCATCAAGGTCATAATTTTGACTGTAGAAAGAATTCAAGAAATGAAACATCTCTTCTGAGACTTTAACAAAAACAGGAGGCAAAGAAGAAACACAGACATAAGTTGATCAGATAGCTCTTCAAAAATGCAAGCTTGAAATTATAAGTTGCTACACTGATATCTGAAGTAAGCCCTGGAGAGGAGTGATCAAGTAGAAGAAGAACTGGTTCCCCACTTTGGAGTCTAAAGAAATTTGAATTAGCATTTAGGCATGCATGAGAACATCATTGGCATAAAAGAAAATTCATTACATTGCATTCACATTTCATACATAAACGTATGATTTTTACAGATCTTCCAATGAAAATATATGATTCATGATCTCAAAATCATAACAAGTGAAAGATAGAATTCAAACCTCAAATACAAGCAATCATGTTTAGAGAGACAGAACCTGAAGAACATGGAGATAATCCACAAAAGAAGCATTACTTTGAAGTGTGGCATGTTACCCAACCATTAAGTTATTTTGAAAAATGAGAAAGCGATTTCCAAAGTTTCTCATTTAAATCTTTTCAGAAAATGAAATTTTTGAAAAGTAAGAAAGCGATTTCCAAAGTTTCTTACCAGTAAAATATTTCCAAAATTCCTTCGGGTCATCAGTAAGTCTTTCGAGCATGATGCTTAAATCATTCAGGTCATCTACAAGTCTTTTGAGCAAGATGATAAGTCCTTCAGGCCATCCATAAGACCTTCGGGTAGGATGTTTTCACATGAATTTGAAAAATGAGAAAGCGATTTTCGAAGTTTCTCATTTAAATCTTTTCAGAAAATGAAATTTTTGAAAAATAAGAAACTGATTTCCAAATTTTCTTACCTAGTAAACTATTTCCAAAATTTGTAAGTCATTCGGGCCATCAGTAAGTCTTTCGAGCATGATGCTTAAATCCTTCGGGTCATCTATCAGTCTTTCAAACAAGATGATAAGTCCTTCGGGCTATCTATAAGACCTTTGGACAGGATGTTTTCCCATGATTTTCATAAAATTAGAAAGCGAATTCCAAAGTTTCTCATTTAAATCTTTTCAGAAAATGAAAATTTTGAAAAGTAAGAAAGCGATTTCCAAAGTTTCTTACCTAGTAAACTATTTCCAAAATTTGTAAGTCTTTCGGGCCATCAGTAGGTCTTTCTAGAATGATGCTTAATCTTTCGGGTCATCTGTCAGTCTTTCGAGCATGATACTTAAGTCCTTCGGGCCATCAATAAGTCTTTCGAGCATGATGCTTAAATCCTTCGGGTCATCTGTCAGTATTTCGAGGAAGATGATAAGTTCTTTGGGCCATCTATAAGACCTTCAAGCATGATGTTTTCCCATGATATTCAAAAAATGAGAAAGCGATTTCCAAAGTTTCTCATTTATATCTTTTTAGAAAATGAAATTTTTGAAAAGTAAGAAAGCGATTACCAAAGTTTATTACCTAGTAAACTATTTCCAAAATTTGTAAGTCCTTCGGGCTATCAGTAAGTCTTTCGAGCATGATGCTTAAATCTTTCGGGTCATCTATCAGTCTTTCGAGCAAGATGATAAGTCCTTCGGGCCATCTATAAGACTTTTGGGTAGGATGTTTTCCCATGATTTTCGGAAAATGAAAAAGCGATTTTCAAAGTTTCTCATTTAAATCTTTTCAGAAAATGAAATGTTTGAAAAGTAAGAAAGCGATTTCCAAAGTTTCTTACCTAGTAAACTATTTCCAAAATTTGTAAGTCCTTCGGGCCATCAGTAAGTCTTTTGAGCATGATACTTAAATCGTTCGGATCATCTATCAATCTTTCAAGCAAGATGATAAGTCCTTCAGGCCATCTATAAGGCCTTCTGGTAGGATGTTTTCCCATGATTTTCAAAAAATGAGAAAGTGATTTCCAAAGTTTTTTACCCAATAAATTATTTCCAAAATTAGTAAGTCCATTGGGCCATCAGTAAGTCTTTCGAGCATAATGATTAAATCCTTCGGGTTTTCTGTCGGTCTCACTTGAGACAACGTCGGGACAGAACCGGACAAAAACATGTAGTCTTTTTATCTCTGCCCTATTCTTGTTAACACAAGCAAGGTCAAAGAGGGGTAGTTGTAGATACTCATTTTTGTCCAGGTTATTATTAATATCTAATTTTATTATTGTTATTGTTTATATTACTATTATTATTATTATTTTCATTATATATCTATTTTTATTTTTTTTATTTTGCAGGCTTTACAAACCCAAAGTGGGCCCGAATACAACTCAGGAGGCCCAACAAAGCAAATTAGGCCCCAATTATAGTCTGACCCGATCAAAGCTTCAAGCCTAACTCCCAAGCCCAAGAATCAAACCTAAATTAGCCTAAACCCTAAACCTAATTAAGGGTTATTGAAACCCTAGGGTTTCCAGCCACCGTCGCTTCCTTTCTGGTCACTCGTTCTCATTGATTTCAGACGCCGTTCAAGCTACTCCATCGTCAGCCAACAGTGACAACCAAATTAGAAAAAAATCAATCAAAAATCAACCAAAAGCCATTTTTAAAATCCAAAAAATCCTAGAAAATCTAGATCTTTGAATGTATGCTTAGGGGAAATCATTCCCTACCTTCTGCTGCCACAAAACCCATCATCAAACCGAGCCAAAGGAAAGGATAAAAGAGAGGATTCATGAGGAAAAAGGGAAAACATTCGGGGAGGGGAATTCGAAAAAAAGGAAGAACCGAAAAAAAAGAAATTGTTCGAACAAAAAAAAGGTCATTCGTACCAAAAATAAACCCAAGAAAAAATAGATTCGAGTAAAAGACCTACCTTTTAAGGAAACTTGGCCATTGATTCTCTTCACCGGAATAGCAAGGTTCCATTACCAAAGGTAAAGTTTTACCTTTAGGGGATAATTTTTGATTTTGGGTTTGGGTATTTTTTTGGGTTAAATTAAGGGGGTTTAGTTGTGAAAGGTGTTGTTTTGGGAGGGAGGGGCTATCCCAAGCGGTTTTTATCCCCTATTCATCGATTTACGGTGGTTGAATTTGGTTTGTTTCCACTGGTGACATTGGGAGAGAGCCTTTAAGGCTATTGGTTGAAGAAAAAGAAAAGAGAGAGATAGGGTTTGGAAGAGAGACGAGCGGTTGGGGAAATGAAAATGGGTTAGTGTTTTTTAAAATTCTTTAAGGAGATATATATGCGTGAGTTAAAATGGTGTCATTTTGAACTCTTAGGGTTCATGTGTTTCACATATAGGTAAATTCCATAAGAAGGGTCTCTATCTTTGTTAGGTTTCATTCTAGTCCCTGTTGAAGGTTTTTAGAGATTATGATTTTGGCTTATTATTTCACGCGTGTTCATTTTGGTCACTTTAAGCTATGTATTTTGATAAATTTCGATTTCCAACATGTAATATTGGATATTTGTATTTCAGTCCTAAATATATGGGTTTATTACATTTTCAGTGTTCGTAATATGTTATTTTTACATTATGTGATGTGTTATTTATTTAATTTGTTTTTGAGAGATTAACTTTCCAGTTTTATTATTTAGCCCTATTTTGCTTGTTATCTTATTTTTAGGAATATTTTAATTGAATGCCTTACTTTAAATATATCCATTTTGGTCTTGAATGATTGAAATTGATCTATTTATAATTGTAGTGCTAGTTTATAAAATATTTGCCATGGTTGCCTTTATTTCTTGTTGATTGTATAGTTTAATCCCTAAAGTCACTTTTTTATTATTTTGATCCATAATTTATATATTCGATAATTTCTTGCTAGTTGCAATATTTTCATATATTATTTTACTCGAGGAAGTTATAGAAACGTGCCTTAACTGACAAGGAATGCGTTTCCAAGAATTGCTCGAACATAATAGTATTTTTATATTCAAATGAATTTTTTTATATTTAACATATGTATTTTATCTAAAATTTTGGGCAATATTATTTTTGTATGGGAATCCATGGAAATGCCCCCTTAACTAACAAGGAAGGTATTTCGAGAATTGTTCGTGCAAAATAATAACCCGTATATTTTTCTGAAAAAGGGATCACAATTTAAATGTATATTCGAATTTGCCAATTTCAATATTTAGATGATGTATAATCGCTTAGGTACCGATTTCGGGCATTGTGGGGGTGTTAATCATTCCCCACATGTAATCGACTCCCAGACCCTTTTCAAAACAAATTTCTTGTTAAACCCGGATCATTTTTTATCTTTTAAAATTATTTTTTCTTAAAATTATTTTGAAAGATATTTTTAGGTATTCGACCTACTTAACCCAAAGGTCGATGGAGATTCCCAATTTATTTATTTGCGACTTTATTTTAAAACCCAACATTTTCCAAAATTAAGTTGGATCGATCTCCGCCAATAGCCCCAAAAAGCTTAAGGACCGATCCCGTCATCCGACAGTATTTTCGCATCTATTTAGATCTCGAAGTTATTTAATTGCATGATTTTATATCTTAAATTGATAGCCCTTAACCATAAACTATACCTCACCTCGAAGTTGTTTGAGAATCCATAATCGGTTTCTCATTGCAATTTCAGCTAGTTGTCATACCTTAATTTCAGTGAGCTACTTGGTTAGAAAGGTTACACGAAAAAACTTCCAAATGAAGGTACCAGTTATATGGTGTATTTTTTATATTTTCTTAGTAAGCATGTGATAATATATCGAAGTAAGATAATGGTTGTCATATTATATTTGAGGTTATGAGATAGCCATTATGGTTCTGTTGGGTTTTGTCGTTTGGATTTAAGATAACATCCTTTGGATTTTTCCTTGGAAGTGACTTGTGTTCAAGAATTAAATCCAAAGTGTTCGATGTTTCAAAATAGCAGAGTGTTCATATTATTGTGGTGATTGAATGGCTTTGTTTGGTTTGTGGTGATTCAAATTAGTCAGGATTTCATTGGAGTTAAATGGTTTGTGTTGCTTGCTTGTACTGTTTCTCAAATCACGTAGGTATCTACTGTTATTTTCTGGAAAACTCTTTCTAAACGGTTAATGATATACATTTCTTTTGTTCTTTCATTTTCTTGCCATATAACGAATTCTTTTATATTTGTCTTCTAGAGACTAGAGGCGTGCATTATTTACTTGATATGACACTCGTTAGCATCTCATATGATGACTAGCCCTTTTGACAATTAAATAGTCAAATTTAATCTGGTTGCATTCCTGCTGCTTTCTTTAATTCTGGCTTATATGTTGTGATTAAGCCTTCTTGAAACTGTGCAGGAGAGTTACATTGTCTGCAAATGCAATCTCATGTGCAGCTGCAACATAGCATGTCCAAATAGGCTATTACAAAATGGAGTACGAATGAAATTAAAAGTTTTCAAAACAAAGAATAAGGTAGTAGTTTCAAATTCTGGTTGTATTTTAGAGTTTTATCCTTTGACGTGGCTTCATGTCTTACCAGGTTTTACTTCCTGATTTATGAGGATCTGTTTTCGCCCCATGCTCGCTTCTTCTTCCTTCTTTTTAATGTTTTATGTTTTATGTTCTATGTTGAGTAGGCTATATGATTAGATTCCAGGTATGATACAGACGGTTGCAACTATACATATAACATTGATACTCATGGTAATGATATGAGCCGGTTGATTAAGGGACAAGTCCAATATGTTATTAATGCAACCAAATATGGGAATGTTTCTCGGTTCATCAATCATAGGTGAGGATACACTTGCTATGAATCAAGTACTGAAGATGCTTTATCATACTCTTGATTCTGACCTTTCCAATTTGTTGCCTGCCTATAATACTTGTGAATTTTAGGATTCTGATATTTTAAATATATATTAACCATATTCTCATACCCTTTAAGCATTTATGACCTTTCGGGGAACTAGGTGTCTTAATGTTGCAGTTCAAGTTCAAATTTCCTACTTTTATATTACTGAATTTTTAGTGATTCACTCTTGATAACTTCTTCGTCTTCTTCTTAATTCTCTCCAGTTGCTCGCCGAATCTTGTGAATCACCACGTTCTTGTGGAGGGCATGGATTGTCACAGTGCTCACATTGGTCTCTAATGCCAGTCAAGATGTAAGTGCGTCTTGTTCTTAATCATATCTGTGAACTCCATGATGATTGGCGGTTCAAAATGCTTTGCGAAAAAGTGGTTACGACGATTGAGTTAAAATCGGGTGAACTTATCCAAATAAAAGAAGAGTTTAATTTTGCACAGGTGAAAGTTTTGAATAGGTATCTCTTGATATTTTTCTTATACCAAGGTTTGTTAGGCAATCGATCAATGCTGGTCTCTATTTACTATTCAAAAAAAATTATATAGGAATTTCATTGTTTTCTGAATGTGTTGAATCCTACCACTTTCACTTTCTGATTTTGCAGATAACTATTTGTGAAGAGCTGACTTCTGATTATTGAAATGAACATCTTCCTGGAGAAGGATATCGATGTCAATGTGGAGCTTCTGCATGTCGAGGTCACCTATGAGTACTATGGGGTCTCAATGGCATCCAGGGTTTTGCTTTTCTAGTTTCCAAATGAGTGATACTAACAAAGGAGATCGACCTCCATCAAGCTAGTCCCCGGACGAAATCCGACACACTTGTTGTGACCAGTTCTACATTTTATGCTGGTGGTTCTAGCAGCATGGAAACCGTAAAGGCGTAAACTTCCAAATCTCTATCACTCTCAGTTAGGTTCAGTTGACAAAGTGGGATTTGTATGGAAGGATATGGCCAAAAATTATTGACAGACATGTCCAAACTTCAGTTTTATTGGGTGGGTCATGAACAAAGTTTCTCCCCAAACAAACAGAAACACGGATCACTAAGCTTCTGTGTGTGTTTTAATGACATCTGATATTTGCCATAAAAGATGTTTGATATGTCCCCACTAAAGGAATTGGTATCATACTAAGCTATGAAGACGCTAGATATCTTGCAGTGATGATGCTCCTCAAATAAATCAAGCTATGAGCCATTGGGAGAAGTGTTTAATCTCGAATCAATAGAAGGTGAGGCATAAATCCGAAGTAAGCCCCGAAAACGTCGTAAAACAGCCGCTAAGGAGGGTAGATCCAACGTCGGTCAGTAGCCACTGACAAAAGGGCCGATGGTGGAGCATCCTCTATCCAAAAGCAATCCTCAATCGTCGTTCTACCCATCAAAGCTATTGCATGTGCAGTTTGATTCCAGTTCCGACCAATGTACTCAAATCGATAGCTTCGAAATCTTCTAGAAAAGGATCAAGCATCAGCAATGAGAAGGCAATGTTTGATAAATCTCCATATGAGAAATTTAATTTCTAGAAGACAGATTTAGAGTCCCCTTCTACAATCACATTTCGGCAACCAATATCTTCACAAATTGGAGACCTTGAACCACCACCAATGCTTCTGCCTCAAACGTCGATCGAACATTAAGATTTATGGTTGTTCTCAATTATTATCATTAAATTTAAAGACTAGCTTAATAATCAACACATAATTCATATAATATTAAAATATGTATTCACATGTAACAAGTTTAAATAATCAAACCTCTTAGGTAAAAATATAATAATCAAGTAGACTGTTCATTCTTCGCAAGCCTAAATCTCTAATCCTCTCATCATTATGTATAATAAAAAAGACCACGAAATTTTAAAATATTTTCCCACTCAACTAAAAAAATCAAATTAAGTTTGAGTTATAAAATATGTATTGTTAACTCAATTAAATCAAAATTTTTTGAGTTGATTCATTCGAATATTCACCCCTAATTACAACGGACAATAAACTCTCTATTTAATTGTATATGATGGGATGAAGCCTGGAATACTAAGGGCCTAGCCCGAATTGTGACCCTATCCTACTAGTCCTAGACCTAAATCTTAAACTATGTTTAACAAATTCTGTAAAATGGACCCAAAAGTGAGGTCCATACTATCCTTGGATTGCCCATCTTTCTCTATAGCCATTACGTAGGAGGGGTAAAAGCAGCGGTCCTTTGCTTTTATAGCTACTACATACATACACACACCTATAAATCTACAAGAAAAGCATGACATAAAAAATATAAAATAGATTAAAATTTTAAATTTAAATTTTCAAGAGACGACTATTACAACATCCATCTCTCGGTTCATCTATGTTTTCCTTATTTTAAATTTTCAAGAGATGATTACCCTAACATCTATTTTTCGGTTCATCCATGCTTCCCTTCCATTTTCTATAAAAGTAATATTTGTAAGTTTACAAAGAGAAAGCCAAAAGCACCTCATATATAAGAATCATCTTATGGTATGTTTGTCTGGGGTGTTTGTATCACGTAATTCGTTTTCTGGAAAATGTTTTCCCTTGTTTGTTTCACGGAATTCATTTTTCGGAAAATATTTTCCAGTGTTTGGTTGGAGGAAAACTGGTTGGTTAACGTAAAACATTTTCCTGGTCAACAGAATTTCTTTTGTGTTTTCTGGAAAATGACTTACGGTCTAATTTCCGAATTTTTCACTTTAAAGAATAAATACTCAAAATAATTTTATTTTATGAATTTAATATTAAGAAAATATTTTAATATCATTTTAATCAAAATATTAATTATTAAAATATATTTATTAATATTTCTAATAATATAATATTATATTTTTAATATTATAATAAAATAATCAATTATATTATAATAATATAAGATATTATATTTTTATTTTAATAATATATAATAAATTATTAATAAAATTTATATTATTTATTAATTTCATAGTAATAATATTATTAAATTATTAATAATGAATAATATTATTTATATATTTAATATTAATCTAATAATATAATAATATTTTAATAAAGATATTTAAATATACTAATTAATATTTTTAAAATATAATATAACACTATTACTTTAATAAATAATTTATAATATTTCTATTTCAATAAAATATACCAATATTAATATTTGTATTAATATAATTATAAAAATAATATTTAATAATAAATAAATTATTTTAATATTTAAAAAATAATAATATTAATTTTATGATAAATAATATTATTTATTGTATTTAATATTTATAATAAATAATTTTTAAAAAACTCATTAACTAGTAGAAAAAATGTTTAAACATCTTCTAAACATCATAAAACATTTTCCAAATGTTTTTCATAAAAATGTAATTCATTTTACGGAAAACGTTTTTCGGAAAACGTTTTCCAGAAATATAATTTATTTTCCAGAATTCAATTTTCAGAAAATCAATTACAACCAAACAAACAGATCCTTAGATTCTAATGATGTTTTCTCTTCCAGTCAGTTACCTTAATTGGTGAGTCGATATTTAAACCCTTTCCTTCTTATGTAGTCACTAAATCTAATATTATATTAATCAGTCATCTATAATACATACGCTATAGACGCATACACACTTTATAGAATCTTTTTGTCAATCTCTTTAATTGGTGGGTTGATATTTAAACTCTTTTCATATGTTTAAAGTATTTCTTAGTTATTGAAAACATTCACACATATAATTGCTTGAATCTAAAACCTCTAAGAATAACAATACTCATTTTTACTAATGAGGTGGGTTGGTGGATTCAAATTCACTTGAATGCTCTTACATGCTTTAATTTTTCTGCATGGTTTCTAGTATCACAGATTGCTTCTAAAACATTAAATAAAACAAAACATTCATACTGGAAATTGACCCTGCTTGGTAAATTGTTGCACTCAGCTGTTGTTACAGTGAAAACGCTTTTGAAACCGGAAGGGTTTTTTCTCCCTTTTAGCAGCTTTAGATAATCATTTTAACTGATGAGATATCATATCCAAAAGAAACCTATTTCGACTCTCCCACTAAAAGACTAAACAAATTGTTAGATTGAATTTTCACCCATGAAATTATTGTTATATTTGATAAAAAAAAAGGGAGGGCGGAACTGATTGATTGATGTATTGCAACTGAACAACTTGATTTAAAACTAAATGTAGAGATGTTTATTATATATATATATATATATATATATATTTTGTTTTTCTCAAAGGAAAATTAACGTATTAGGTAAAGGGTACTTGTTGCTTTGCAAATAATTTGTTTTGGATTTTAAGGAACCAAACTTTGATTATCAGGTGAACAAATGCAGCAACAGAAAGAAAGAAAAAAATCTACCAGTCCTAAGACAAAAAGAAAACAAATAAAGAATGAGAATCTATTGGTTTAGGGACTTTATGTTATCAATGACTTATACCACCTACTTGTTCCCAGCCAATTTCCTTTTAGGTAACAATGCCTTCTTCCACGTTATATATACTTTCTTTTCTCTTTGTCTTTGGCATTTGTTGAGCCAACAAACCCTAGCGAGAAATCATTATGTTATTTCACTTGAATTTGGTAGTAATTTGTTTTCTGGCTTTATAAAATTCTTAGTGATGAACTTGTTCAAAGGTTAAATCCTTTCAGACCCGCGTACACTGCATGTGTATTAGAGACATACATAGAATTTTGTGTTAAGGGAAAAATTTTAAAATTCTAGGAAGAGACAAACATATAGAATTCTAAAGCCGAAAATGAAATATCAGTATAGAATACTAAAAAAATATCTAAAATTTATAATAATTTGATTAATTTCAAAATTTTAGAGGGAAGACTATTCCAACCACCCTTTCAGTCCATCCATGAATGTATATATACTAAATATCAAATCATTAATGCACTCAAAGTTCGTAACTATTTACTTTTCCTCGTGGCATCAACAGTTATTTTTCATTTATATTGAAGAAAATATATCTTAGACATAGAGAACTGAATGGGATGGCCGGAGACAATCCCTCTTAGAAAATTTTAAAATTTTAAAATTGTTATATATTGTAGATATTATTTTATATTTGTTTATTAATAATATGTTTGTGTCCCTGTAATTTTATAAGTTTGATCCATTCTAAAATTTTAAAATTCTATAACCCTAACATAAAAACTCTTATCCGTCTATGATCTTAGAGTTTCTTTGGCATTTGAATGAGAAATAAACACGTTTATCAATAATATAATTATCTGATTTGACATCATAGATAAAATAATCATATCATTTAAA